GGGGGGGTTGTGACTGTACCTGAGGCCCTGGTGGTACTTGCAGTGGTGAGAGCTCGCTATTGGTGAGCGAGGTTCCGCCCTATCGACTTACATCCTGCCGCGTTTCTATGGCAACGGCCAGCGAGGGGGGGCAACGTACAAGCAGGTCGGCGCTCTCCCTCCACATTCGCCGGCGCGCGCACACATGCGCCCTCAACTGAAAAAGAAAATGTTTTTGGCTTCGATTTATGAATTGTGTCTCCTTCTCCTCCAGTACTCGCAGGCGTCCACCGTACTGTCAGCGGGCGGCATCCGGCAGCAATTCTCCCGCCCGGAAAACATCCAGATGTCCCTCTTCGGTGCTCACTTCCTGCGTGACATTAATGTGAGTCCTTCTCAGGGGCCCATAGAGCCAGCTTAGGGATGGTGGGAGCCCCTCATAATGGGCACAGCGGGTGTACAGACCCGGGAACTCAGCACAGGGATGGTGGGAGCCCCTCATAATGGGCACAGCAGGTGTACAGACCCAGGAACTCAGCACAGGGATGGTGGGAGCCCCTCATAATGGGCACAGCGGGTGTACAGACCCGGGAACTCAGCACAGGGATGGTGGGAGCTCCTCATAATGGGCACAGCGGGTGTACAGACCCGGGAACTCAGCACAGGGATGGTGGGAGCTCCTCATAATGGGCACAGCGGGTGTACAGACCCGGGAACTCAGCACAGGGATGGTGGGAGCTCCTCATAATGGGCACAGCGGGTGTACAGACCCGGGAACTCAGCACAGGGATGGTGGGAGCTCCTCATAATGGGCACAGCGGGTGGACAGACCTGGGAACTCAGCACAGGGATGGTGGGAGCTCCTCATAATGGGCACAGCGGGTGTACAGACCTGGGAACTCAGCACAGGGATGGTGGGAGCTCCTCATAATGGGCACAGCGGGCGTACAGAGAATGTGACTGGTCTGCTGTGTTGTAGGAATATCTGGGTGTAGCGAATGAGGAGCCCGTGGACCTCGAATTCAACCCGTCCGGATACCTCTTCCTGTCCAGCGAGAAAGGGGCGGAGATCTTACAGGAAAATTACAGAATTCAGAGGTACGATCACTGACTCCAGATACAACTTTTCTCAGCTTCCGCGGATGCATTTATTATTGGAAACCAATCAGAGTGGTTTCTGGTCATGTGACTAATATGTCTGATATATTGGTCAGATCCAAGCTGGAGGCGTCATTCAGAAAAAAAAATGATTCCAGCTTGCAGAGGCAACTGAAGGCTGCAGGTGTCAGAGTGCCTTTTGTTTAACACTGTAATGTTCTACTACAATTAGCGAAAGAAAAAAAAATGTGTGTGCGATATGAACAGTTTTTGGTCTTTATTATTCTCTTCCTCCCGCAGGGAACAAGGTGCCAAAGTGATCCTGTTTTCGCCACAGCAGCTGAAGAAGAAGTTTCCGTGGATCAATACTCAGGATGTGGCTTTGGCCTCCTACGGTGAGATCTGCGTCGGGTTCAGAATGTAAAGTCAAAGTCGCCGGCACACCAAAGTAATTCGGCGAAAGTCCATTTATTGACACATTGCCCTTCAATAACGAGCGCTTTTCGGGGGGCCTCGAGGGTACCCCCTTCATCAGGCTCAATGACCCATCCTCACAAAACCATCATCTTTAACTGCTTCCCGGCCGGCCGTTGTACATATATGGCCGGCCGGGAGCTTCCTGGATGTAACGGGCCGTGTATACACGGACTGTTAGCCCCGCCCACTCGAGCGCGACCGGGGAACGACGGCATAGGACCTGTCACATAAGGGGGTTTCTTAGCCCCCTATCTGATAGCAATAAAGTTAAGCGGAGAAAAAAAAAGAAATAGGAAAAAAAATGAAAGTTACACATAAAAAAGAATTTTTTAAAAAACTATTTTTTAAAAAGTTCCCACCCCTACATACACGCATGCAAACGCATGCGATTTTCGCGGGTGTGCGCGCAATTTTTATGCATGACACGTTTGGTGTCTATTTACCCGACGTGACCCCGTCTTTTATATTTTACCAAAATAATTGGGTAATAATAATTGTTTCCTAACATAATGTTTAAAAAAAACTTTTTTTTTTTCAAAATTTTCAGGAATTTTCCCGAAATATAGTAAAAAATAAAACCCGTAGTGGTGATTAAATACCACCAAAAGAAAGCTCTATCTGTCCCCAAAAAATGGTATAAAATTCATTTCAGTACAGCGCTGCATGACGGTATAAACGTCAGTCAAAGTACCGCAGCGCTGAATACTGAAAAATGGCCGGGGGAGGGGACACCTGGTCAGCAAGGGGTTAAATAGACACACAAAATGTAAAGAACAGACTCCTCCCACCGAATCTCGTCATTGCGCGAGTTTCTCCCGCCAATTCATTCTCAAAGCAGGCTTTACGTGTGGCAGGCTTAAGTGGAGGCGATGCGATCCGCTCACCCAGCTGTTCGCGCACGAGTAGCATCGGCCCGTTGTCCGGGAGACAGAGACGCGGGAAGACCACGCCCCCCTTGTCCACCAACATACACGCTGCGTGGAACGCAGGGTGGTTACCGCTGTGTCGGGGGTTCAGACCCCATTCCACACAGCTCAGGTCTCCTCCTACTCCTAACTGGATCGAAAGACTTTCCAGCGTGCTGGTAATGTACTCGATGGATGAAGGAAGCATCCTGCACCCGAGCGCTCGTCCCTTCCTGAGCCTTGTGCTGCCCATTGTTAGTTGTGACACTCGGATCAGACCAACTGTAATATCTATTGGGGGGAATTTATCAAAGTCTGGAGCAGCTGTGCACGGCAGCCAATCGGCTTCTCTCTTCAGTCTGTTCAGGTAAGATTTGAAAATGAAAGAGAGAAGCTGATTGGTTGCCGTGCACAGCTGCTCCAGACTTT